GTCTTTCGGAAACAACCTCTCTACTCCTTCGGGATAGGGGTAAGGTCTGCGTACACACTACCCTCCCCAGACCCCATTAGTGGGATTTTACTGGGTTGTTGTTGTTGTTGTTGTTGTTGTTGTTATGATTAAGAACGTGGAATTGATATTTGTTCACGGTAATGTTACTGATAAATTTAATAATGCTACTTATATATCTTGAAAATTAGTATTAAGAAAAAATTAAATGTACGAATATATTATAAAAATAATAATTAAAATAATATTAAATTATTTTAATTATAAGTAAAATATCTGGGTAAAAGTATATTATATAGTATATAATATAAAAGGTATTACATAATGGGAGGATTTATAATGTCAAGGACATAATAGACTTTTTAGGTGAAATGTTTGTAAAATCTGGTCAAAGTGATTATTGTGATAACTAGAGCATAGTAAAATGATTTTTGTGTAACAAAAGAAAGAAAAATGACTTTTAGGTAATGAACACAAAGTTGAATGACGGTAACGTAACAAAAAAAAGTGACTTTTGGATAATGAACACAAAGTTGAATGACCTACCATAAAATTTAATCCTAAAAGAATGATCAAATAAGAATATTCGGTTTCAATAGACACCAACTCTTTTTTAAATAAAATCTATTAGATAATACAAGCACTACGAAAGTGATTAAAAAAGTCAAGGTTAAAATCACAACGAGAGTTGTTAATGCATTTTGAATAATTAATCATATTTTATCCTGGTTTTGCAAACCTACCTTGGTTTGTGCGGGTGAGTTTTTAATATTCAGAACCAAAGTAATGCAAAAAACAACTCGAAGATTCAAATTAATGGGGAAAGAAATAAGAGTAGGTATAGCGCATACAGTGCCTGCGGTATACCCTTATGGCCTAACGTCCAACCTCAATAGGGTTTGGGGTGTATAACGCAGATATTGTATGAGCTATGGTGTCCTTTCCGTAGCTGTGTTTTTGAAAATTTTAAAACGATTCGCCTGATAATTGTATTACCACGTAAGTTTAATGCGCTATATGGTACTAATGTAACGTATCCGATATTTGGCTAATTGTACATGCATCATCTACTTAAATGGAATTTCATTTCATGAAAAATTATCTTCCACTAATCTGATATAAATTTGTCTTTGTTCTTCATCTATCATTTTTCCTAAATCTTTCAACAATGACGGATGAATGCAGAACTAGAGATGCGTTATATACTGGGCCAGTGAGATTGTTTTGAAGAATAATTCAGTGCATAATATCGTTCTCCAGCAACTAGCATTAAGTTGCACCTTATTCGTTTTCCAGCAATTAAGTTGCACCTTCAATGGATACCATACACTGGTCTCTTTATTATGTAAGAAAATGGATGTTAGTAGGCGTGCGATGAATCTTAAAGTGATTGGAAGATTTTTATATTCAATTACTCAAAATTCTCATCAATCATGCCTCGAACTGATCGAGAATCATGCGAGGTTGAGGATAAGAAAAGAGAACAATCGAATGTTAGTAAGATGTGGACGATTCTACATGCTTAAGTTGGGAGAGGAACAAGCAGCATCTACTTGTAGAAATTTTGACATTAGGAGGAAGGAGAAAATGTCCTAACAAACAAAGATTATCTTTCAGGTGAGGATATATTATTGACTGCTCCTATCCTATTAATTGACAAGTGTGGGTTGCTTTAGTGGTGAGCACTCTCCACTTCCAACCAAGAGGTTGTGAGTTCGAATTACTCCAAGAGCAAGGCAGAGAGTTCTTGGAAGGAGGGAGCCGAGGGTCTATCAGAAACCGCGCCTCTTATACTGGGTTGTTGTTGCTCCTATCCTATTAATTAGTGGAATTTCTATGATTTTGTAGTGTATGATGTTTTAATTTAATATGAAAGCTAATAAAATTATCAAAATTAATGTGTACCATATATTCGCATAACACGTCATATTTATTTATAAAATAAAGCCTATTCACAACATATAATATATAATCGATAACTAATAATGGGTGATGATGCATAATACATAACATATCACGGATAGATCTATTCAACAATGCAGTATTTCTAAATAACAAAAATCATTAGTAAATCACATATCAGCTTTAGACGATTACCTTACTTTTCATCTTCATTAAATAGTTCTTTCAGATGATATCTCTCATAGTGTTCTCTATATTATTCCAACTCTTTCAATAGTGTTTTCAGAAAATCTTTGGCTTCTTTGAGGTTAAACTGTAGCGACAACACTGTGGTGTTCGGCTAATTAGTAGCCGGCTCATCGTTCCACCTAAAAATAATCGCAAGCCCCATTATCCTACAACATATAAAATGTAATTATCATTGACTAGTCAATAACACGTATCATAGGTATATATTACTACAGAAAATGTACTTACTTTTGGAAGTTTACAACCCCAAAATTTTTATCAACCGTTGAAGTCTTCAACTTATGGTACTCTTCACAATCGCAAAGATCGTGTTCTATAGAACCGTGTGAATTTTGTGACGCTAGCGACATAGCTAATCTAAAATAGGAAGCTAAAGATGAGAAAAAATGGAAGACAAGTTGAAGAAGATAGGCAAAATGAGGAGTGGAGAGTACTATGGACACATAGGACACATAGGGCGTATATGCCAGTGCATTATACGCCCCAAACATGACCTAATGCCAATAAGTGTAGGAATCTGTTTGAACACAATGTTACCAATTGAACTTAAAGTATCAAAACAAGGTAAAAGTTTAAAAAGGTTAGATTAGATCATGCTAGCAAAAATAGTATTATCTCGTTCGCGAACATGGCTTCAGATTTTTACGTTTTTTTAACGTAGAAGAACAACATCTACAGTAACCTTTTTTCACATGGAATAATTTTTCTTTTTGACCATTACCTTATTCATATACAAGTGCGGATAGCAAATGCCTGTTCAAAGTTCAAACAGCAAAGAGCACGTACTCGACATTTATCTCTCAATTTCCTGACTTTCTCCCATAAAAGTGAGGGAAGCTATTTCTCTTTTTAGTGGGAAGTGTTTTTCTTATAAAATATTTTCTGGAAAATTACATTTTCATGAAAAGTCGGTCAACATAAATCATATCATGACCAAATGCCTAACTATACATAAGTACTAGTTAGCTTTTCTCAATTCAAAAAGCAAACTATCCTCAATTCAAACAGCAAAGAGCTAAATCTTCTGCTATTTGTGCCAGTGACAGTAGCCAGTTCCTTCTTAAGAAATTGTCACCTTTCCGTAGTGTATAAAGCACGTTCAACTCAGAGGTTATGATATGTATTATGTATATCAGGGAGAAATTTGAGAAAC